TCCAAACGGACTATCTTAGAGCATATTAAGTAATGCTAAAACCTTATCAAAATAATTATCAAGTTTCAATAGAAATTTAACAATGCAATAGGAATTTATTAAGATTTTTACATCATTATAATATGATAACTCTGCTATTGATATATGCTTTTCAAAACTTGGTTCTATCTATTGCAAATATCGAATTATGAATTAACTCATAGATGGAGACCTTGCAATTTTCTAATCTTATCAATATACTCTTCTAACTGAAAATGACTTATGTGAATAGCTACATAATATTTAGATTAATAAATTTATTATCTAATGTAGAACTTCACAAGGGTTGATGATTTAAATGATTAATGATAAAAGTGAAATCATTGATTCATTACTTATTCAACCTATTTATAATTAAACATAACATTCGATTTTTAAAGGCCAATATATAATAATTTATGAGAAATTTGATTAAATTTGTGCTTTATTTGTGATTAGATGGTCTACTGATTCGAGTGATCTCTAATTACAAAGGTTAGTTTTAAATGGATCGGATTATGTGGATTCTAAAATAGTTAACGAGATAAATGATGTCTAATTTTATCAAGCCAATTATTTAATAGTGTATTATTCTTACATAGCTTTACAAATAAACCTCTTGAATTTTTCTATTACGACCTCATATATTTTAGATAATCAAGATTTTTAATACTTTTAATTTGTTGAATTGTCTTATTTGAATGCTAATATGACCATTTATTTAGATCATAATATTGAGAAGATTTTCGAAATAAGTAATTAAGAATTTCGAATCAATCCATATTTAAACAAAATAGAGTAAGTGCGATTTATCAACGAAAACATTATAATTCAATTTACATCATAGTTATATATTGTAAATAATTATTTAGTTTATGATATTTTACAAACATAATCAAATGAAGTTATCTATTTAGAGAATTTGCCATATATATTGTGCTCAAAGTAAGATCAGTTATAATTTGTAAAAATAAATAGTTTCCCATCTTATTTGAAATTTTAGCAATCGACTTACTTATTCGTATTTTTCTGCATTGATCTTATTCTTAAAGAATAGGTAATTATATATAGAGTTAATTTATTACCAAAAAATGTTACATTTATATTAGATGATAGTTCAACTCACTTTACAGTTTAAGATTCTGTTAATTAAAAGTTGCTTTATCGTCATTTAGATATAATAGTTGGATATCCAAGTTAAGTAACTCTTTTTATTGACAAAAGTGGTGTCATATCAGAAATTTAACATTCATAATTGATAGCTTCTAATATCAATTAAAATACAATTATTCTAATTCATAAATATGTTGAATTTTTTGTTAGAATAGTATTTCACTTAAATCAAACTTTTACAATATCAGATGATATGAATAATATTCATTTAAATCATTAATATAGATTTAATTTTAATGAATCCAAAATTTTTATTAGTGCATCTTAGAGTGCATTCATAGTGTAAGAAGAATAAACTCTTTACTGCTATTCATATATTAATACTTAATTTAAAGCCTTTGAGATTAATTTCGAAAAGAAAATTAATTATTTAGTGCAACAAGAGGATTTATTATATATCTATTTTGAGAACTGTATGATAATGATTGTTAAATTCTCAAATTTTAGTTTTCATGAAAAATCTCAAACACATAAATTGAATTGTACAACCTTGCTAAAAGATGATGCATTAAATATTTAAATTTAACCTTCCTAAATTGATATTTTGAGAAAGAATACTTATACTTTAGAGTTTGACATTCA